CCCTCCCTCCCTCCCTCCCTCCCTCCCCCTCCCCCCTCCCTCCCCACCCCCCCTCCAGACCCTCCACCTATACTCATGCTGCTAAATGGTGGATGTTGAATGTCCAGAGCGGGTGAACCCGTTTGCCAACTTGGTCAAGTCGACGGTGCTGCAGGAGGCGCGGCTGTTTCACAAGTCGCCGATCAAGGCCGGCAAGTGCATCCCCATCCTCACCAAGATTCTGTACCTGTTGCACCAGGGAGAGTCGCTGACGACGACTGAGGCTACTGACGTCTTCTTTGCCACCTCTAAGCTGTTTCAGGCAACGTCGCTTCAGCTTCGGCGGATGGTGTATCTGGTCATCAAGGAGCTCGCCGAGTCTGCTGAGGATGTCATCATGATCACAGCTGTGGTGATGAAGGACCTCAACTCAAACTCGCCCATGCTCAAGGCCAACTCGGTCCGGGTCCTCTGCAATGTGACTGACCCGTCGATGCTGGGGCAGATTGAGCGGTACATCATGCAGGCGATTGTGGACAAGAACACATATGTGGCGTCTGCTGCGCTCGTCTCGGCCATGCACCTGATGGGCGAGAACAAGGACATTGTCAAGCGGTGGGTCTCGCAGGTCAACGAAGCGCTCAAGTCGCGGGCGGTGATGGTGCAGTACCACGCGCTCGGCCTGCTGTACAAGATCAAGCAGCAGGACCGGCTGGCTGTGACGCGGCTTGTGCAGACGCTGACCAAGCAGTCGACGCTGCGGTGCCCGTACGCCACCTGCCTCCTCATCCGGCTCGCCTCGCACGTCATTGCCGACGACCCATCGGGCGTGCCCGACACCTCGCTCTTTGACTACCTCGAGCTCTGCCTCCGCCACAAGTCGGAGATGGTCATCTACGAGGCTGCACGGGCGATTTGCAACATTCCGTCAATCACCGCGCGCGAGTTGACGCCGGCCATCACTGTCCTGCACCTCCTCCTTGGCTCGCCCAAGTCGTCGCACAAGTACGCTGCGGTGCGGACGCTCAACGCCGTTGCCATGACCCACCCGGTTTCGGTCACGCAGTGCATGGTCGAGCTCGAGACGCTGGTCAAGGACTCGAACCGCTCCGTCGCCACCCTTGCCATCACCACGCTGCTCAAGATCGGCTCCGAGTCGTCGGTAGAGCGGCTGATGACTCAGATGTCCGAGTTCATGGGCGACATTCCCGACGAGTTCAAGGTTGTTGTCGTCGACGCCATCCGCTCGCTCTGCCTCCGCTACCCCAAGAAGCACCACATGATGATTTCGTTCCTCGCCGCTGCGCTCCGCGACTCGGAGGGCGGTTATGAGTACAAGAAGACCATTGTCGATACCATCATGCTGCTCATCGACCAGATCCCCGACGCCGCAGAGTCGGGCCTTTCGCAGCTGTGCGAGTTTATCGAGGACTGCGACTTTCCCATCCTCTCCATCCGCATTCTTCACCTCATGGGCGCCGTCGGCCCGCGGACGGCCAACCCGTCGCGCTTCATCCGCTTCATCTACAACCGCGTCATTCTCGAGGTGGCGCCCGTCCGCGCCGCTGCCGTCTCCACCCTCGCTCGCTTTGGCCTCCTCTGCGAGCCGCTTAAGGACGCCGTTACCACGCTCCTCAAGCGCTGCATGTTTGACACCGACGACGAGGTCCGCGACCGCTGCGCCATGTATGTCGCTCTCCTCGAGGCGGGCGCCTCGCCCGAGGACGTTGCCCTCGTTCTCGACGACGGCCCGCTGCCCGTCAAGAACCTCGAGGCCGCCCTCCTCGAGTATCAGGCCAAGCCGTCGCGGACCCCGTTTAATCTCGCAACCGTCCAGCCTGACCCAGTGGCGCCGGCCGCCCGTGGCGCCGCCGCCGCCGGCGAGGCGCCGCACGCCGAAGCCAGCCCGGCCGCCGCCGCCGGCTCGCCGGCCGCCTCGTCGTCTGCCGCCATGTACGCCGCCATGATTGCCGCCGTCCCGCAGCTTGCACCGCTCGGCGCGCCGTACGCCTCGTCGGCGCCGGTCCAGCTGACCGAGATCGAGACCGAGTACCAGGTCAACGTCGTCAAGCACTCGTTCGCCCAGGCTGTCCTCCTCCAGTTCAACGTCACCAACACCCTCGACATGTTCTGCCTCAAGGATGTCACGCCAGTTGTCGAGTTTGCCGACGGTGACGACGGGCTCGAGCCCATCGGCGTCGTAGCCGCGCCCACCATCGCCTATGGCGCCCCGGGCACCGCCTGGGTCGTCCTTCGCAAGGAGGCGACCGCCTTCCCCTCGGCCACCTTTTCGTGCACCCTCAAGTTCCGCGTCCTTGACGTCGACCCCGAGTCTGGCGAGCCCGAGGAGGGCGACGAGGGCGAAGACGACGAGTACGAGGTCGACGAAGTCGACATTGCCCCCGCAGACTACATGCAGAAGACCTTTGTGCCCAACTTTGCTGCCGCCTGGGACAAGTTTACCGACGACCATCAGTCACTCGAGCTCTTTGCCCTCGGCTCGCTCGGTTCAGTCGCCGAGGCTGTCTCCACCCTCATCGACTTGCTTGGAATGCAGGTTTGCGAGCGCTCGAATGCCGTCAAGCCCGACGCCGTCACTCACACCCTCCTCCTCTCCGCCGTCTTTGCCGGCCAGGTCCCGCTTCTTGTTCGCATCCGCCTCAAGCTCGACCAAACCCGGACTGTCCAGATGGAGCTCACTGTCCGATGCGAGGTCGAGTTTGTGCGCGAGCTTGTGCTCTCGCTTGTCGGCTAGAGCGTGTAGTTGTCGGCTGTCAATTCACGTAAAACGCTGCTCCCGCAGAATCCTCTCTCTCACTGCCTCTTTTTACCGTCTACCGCCACGGGTTGGTGACCGACGACGGTGACGCCAGCAGCCGTGCCTCCAGCGGGCCGCGCCCGCGCCCGGCTCTTCTTGTCTGGCCTCGGCGGCCGCGACGTGGCGGCGGCGTGCTAGTCCGCTGCTGCTGCGCCCGCGCTGCTGCCCGGCCCGAGAACTGCAGCCGTGACGGCGACTGTGAGAGAGCGTGAGACCGCGCCGATGCTAGCCGCTCGCGGTTGTGCTCCAACGACGCCGCGAGGGTAGCCGAGAGCGCGTCGAGTCGCGCACCCAACGGACGCATGTCTAGAGGCTCCGCGGACGGCGGTGTCGGCGCCAGCCGCCGCTGCTGCACTGTCACGATCTTGTTGATCAAGGAGGCAGCGACCGAGTCGCCAGCGGCAGCGGCAGCATCACTAGTCGTACGCGCATGTGCTCCTGTCTCGAGCGCTGACACGTGCAGCGCCTCAAGCTCTGCCAACTGGGCGTCGAGCGCTGCCCGCCGCACAGCCAGGTCGTCGAGTCGGTTTGCTTGTGAACGAACGCGGGCAATGGCGGAGCGAGTTGCGGCTGCGGTAGCCTCGAATCGATTTCCAAGTACCTTGACCTGGGCTTCGGCACGGTGTGCGTACGCCCGCAGCGCGTCGATGGTCTCAGTGGCCACGTGCGGGCCAGCGTGCGTGGCACCGGTCCGCTCAGCACCACTAGTCACGGCATCGAGAGTCTCAGCCAGCGAGTCTGCTTCGGCGCAGAGCGAGCGATAGGCGTTGCCGAGCGCCGGGTCGGGCGAGATGGCGAGCACGGCTTTGGCGTCGGCAACCTTGTCGGCGACAAGGCTCGACAGCTGTGCAAGTGTCTGGACCAAGTTCGAGTGCTCGAGATGCGAACGAGGCAGCGAGCGCGGCGACGGCGTTGGAGCCGCAGCTGCAGAAATGGACTCGAGGAGTGTATCCAGCGGGAGCTCGTGGACACCCGTGATAATCATCGGAGGCGGCGCTGGCGGTTCCGCGCCTGTCGCTGCAGCTGAGGCGAGTGCAATGGCCTCCTCCAGCGATGTCGACCCGTTGAGGTCGGCGCTGGCGCCCGGTCTGCTGCCGCAGGCCGAGTGTTGCGACGACGAGTGTGAGCCAGCATGGTCGTCGTCCGAAGTAAAGTCGACCGAGTCCGAGTCGGCCGATAAGAGGTCAGCGTGCGCGGTGGCAACTAACCACTGCGACTTGGCAACATCGCGCCAGTCGGGCTGTGAGGCGGCGGTGGCGGCCAGCTCCGGATCAGCGACCAGGTCTTGTAGGGACGGGGATGGGGTGAGCCCGTCCGGCAGCCAGCGTTTCCCGTTGTCCCTGACCAAGTCAGCAAAGAGGCCGTCGTACGATGCAATGCGCGCGTTCATGCTGGCAAGCGAGCTGTTGGATGCCACGCCCATCGAGTCGCGCGAGTGCGCGGCGCGGAGAACAAGGACGGCAGCCGGACTCAGATTTCGGCCATGCGAGTGTCTGGTGCGCCGAGCACGGAGCGTCGAGTCGCTGATGGAAGGCAACTCATCCGGAAGCTCGGTACGGTCCCAGTCGGAGCTCGGCAGCGTCGAGTCAACGACCTCGACCAGCTCGGGGTGATGCTTGTCGGCGTAGTTCTGAATCTCGCCCCACCGCATATCGTGAAGTGATTCGGACGAGAGCATCGAGGTGAGCCACGGCCCACTTTGTGGCTCGAGAGAGGACTCGAGCTCTGAGAGCACCACAGGCCAGGAGAGGCTGTCGGCGCGCGGGTCGGCTGCGAGCTCGGGAGTGCCGAACTCGGCCTCGGCTTCAGTCTCGGTCTCGGAGACATCCGAGCCGGACACCGTGCCAGCGATACGAGTCCAGGTGGCGGTGGCCAACTCGGCGAGCGTGTCCTTGTTGGCTGCCACGACTGCGCGCCAGCGGGCAGCACCGCGCAGCTCGCCGGCCGACTCTTGCGGCAGCAGCAGCTGCGACGAGACTCGGCGGAGCTCAGGCGGAAAGGCCTCCACATCTTCCATGTCCATGCCATCGTCGGACGAAGCGTCATCGTCATCATCGTCGTTGTAGTTGCTCTCAGCAAGCCGCTTTGCTTTGACCGCAGCAAGCACTGTCGTCCACACCTCTCCAGCATCGTCGTCCGGCGAGCTATTGATCTTTGTGGGCGAGAGGGCCAAGCCCGGATCAAGCGAGGACGAGTCCGAGTCGGATTCACCCGAATCAGACTCAGAATCGTCCAAGCCATTGCTCCGATGACTCTGCGACTTGAGCGTGCGGGCCATAGCCGCCAAGTCCGGCGCAAGCATCTCCAGCGACGGCGCGCGAGCGAGGAGCGGAGCGACATCAACATCATCATGGTCAAGACCATGATCACTAAGAGAGTGATCAACCGATGCTGACGACGACAACGATGAGTTTGAAGATGAGTTTGATAGGCAGCAGGCAGAGTCCGAGAAAGTAGGCCATGCGGTGGAGGGCTTGGACGAGCGGCTTTGTGTGGAAGGGAGGAGACCTGTAGGTGGAGCAGCAACTGTGGCCAGAATGGCCTTCCACTGTGCACTGGCTGTGGACTTCCACCCGCCCGAGTGGGCATGCACCACTTCGCGCCACCGTTTCATAGCTTAGGGATGGGTGAGGTGGGAAGGTGTGAGTGTGGGTATGTGTAGGGGGTGGGGTGTGTGTGTGGTGGGGGGGGGGGAGGTGCGGGTGATCGTGATCGTGATCGTGATCGTGATCGCGAGTGTGATCGTGATCGTGATCGTGTTCAGCGAAAGCCACAAACTCTGCGACCACCCCCCCCCCCCACACAAGGTCAAGGAGCAGGAGTAGGACCAGGACACCAGCACTAGCTCTCTCCTCCCAGAAAAGGCAGTATGGCGGATGGGATAAGGGTGCAGCTTTCTGTCGGCGGTCGCAACCGGGTCCACTTGCTCTCGGGTGAGGCAGACTACTTTACGGCGCTCATGCATGTGGTGGACAATGAGTACCACAATGGGCTTGTCCCGACCTACGTCGACAATGAGGGTGAAACCATCACCATAAGGTCACAGCCTGAGCTGGTCACCGCGCTGTGGACAGGGAGTGGAGGTATGCTTTCGCTGACACTGCTGCCGGACAATCGCGGACAGGGTCTGTCGGCCTCGCTCGCCACCCGGGCACGCAACGCCGCGGCTCGGCTGTTCAACCAGGCTGTCCGTGGCGAGAAACAGATTACCGGCTACGTCCAGGCGGCGGCTGAAGCCAATGGCGGAGTCATGGTCGGGCTGGAGCACAGGTTCAAGACCCGTCACTCGATGGAGCGCAAGTTGCGGGACAAGGCTGCAGCCTTGGCCGATGACGATGAGGACGCGCTCTGCGCCTCGATCAAGGACGCACTGCGGTACACCATCCAGTTTGAGACCGAGATGTACTCGAGTGGAGTGGAGATGGTGCGTCAGGCGCTTATGCAGGCTGACTTTTATGACCCCGAGGCCAATCCGTCCCAAGGTCGCTTCGAGTTTGTCGAGGAGAAGAACTACTGGATTACCGACGCCCGCAAGGATGTCTACGCCGCATTCGACCCATCGATGCTGGCTAATGTCCAGTCGAGCTTTGACAGCGACGTGGGCGGGCAAAAGTACTCGGACGAGGTTTCTGTCATTCTCTCGGGCAGCGACTACACCAAGCGGAGCGTGACGAGGACGGTCTACTCGATGACCTCGCGCAACGCTGTCCGGCGTGGTGACGAGTACCAGGGCATCAACACCGTCATCCGGAACTCAAACACCGGCATGCTGTGGGAGCTCCAGTTCCACACCCGCGAGTCGCTCGAAGTCAAGCACGCCTCGCACAAGGTGTACTCCAAGTTTCGGATCGCCAAGGATCCGCTGGCCAAGCACACCATGATGAGCGAGATGATGGAGTTGTGGGACTCTGTTCCGCGCCCGTTGAGAGTCGACCGCATCGGCAAGAAGGTCGGCTTGCTCGCACCCAAGGGCGAGCTCGAGCCTATTCCGCCTGAGCAGGAGGAGGAGTACAACCAGGCGCGAATTAGCAAGCGCCACGCACTCTACCTTGCCCGCTCCATCCGCGCTCGCTGGACTGTGTTGGATGGACCCGAGCCCGCCATCACTGACGTCATCGAAGAGCTTGCCGCAACCTTTCATGAGTGCGTGCAGCTCTTTGACCTCACGGAGCGGCTCATGCCCAAGTATCCGCTGCGGGCCCGGATTTCCGAGATCGCCGAGGTCATGGCGTGTCCGCTAGAGGAAGCCGCAGCCCGGGTGACCGACGCGCTGCTGTACAACGTCGTCGTCAGGCCGGAAAAGCTGCTGGAAGTTGCCCGGGAATGGGTGCTGATTATGGCCCGCAGCAACGATCTGGCACTGTTCCTCGTCGCCGCAACCAACGAGTGGCCTCACTCGCGCGGGCTGACGACCTGCTGGCGCGTCGCTGGGCATGACCAAGTTTTTACCGTCCGCTTCCACACTGCCGAGTCGCACAAGCTGACCAAGTTTGTGGCGCTGCATGGTGACGCCTGTGAGCCCGATGGCAAACCCGAGACTGCCGACCATAACGCTGAGCTGGAGGATCACGTCAAGCAAGTCGATGTCCTGCCCGACTTTCTTACCTTTGATCCCAGGTGCGAGTTTGCAGCACTGCTTGCGGCAGCTGGTGCGGCGAGCCACGGGCAGTAGTGTTGGGCTACTCGCTGCGGTCGATTAAGAGCGACGACCACGAGATCAGAAGCTCGATATCACGTTCGATTGGTGTCACGGTCCGCTCCAAGTAGTGCGAGGCGTAGGAGTACTCGCCGAGCGGCGGAGCAGGTGCCGAGTCTGGCTCATCCAGCTCCGCTGTCTCTGCAGACGAGGCATCGGTACCTGAGGACGACGATGAATACGGTGGTTTGGTCGCCGTTGCGAAATACGAGACCACCTGTGGAAGTGTAGTCGACCGGCTCGTCGAGATGGCGCTTTCGCTCTCTGCAGCCAACTCGTGGGTGGCAGTGATCGTGACTAGCGCAACCGCCGGCATCACAACCGCCCCCTCCCATCCCGATTCTCGCCATGACCATGACCGTGACCCATGGATAGTGGCCCATCACGATCACGAGAGCAATCACGACTATCATTCTGACGGCGACTTGGTTGGTGCCCCTTTACCAATATTGACCTGCAAGCTCAGACCGAGACCATACTTTTATCATCGGATCATCATGCCTTCGTTTCGGCTGTTCTCTGCCATCGACGAGCTGCATGCGACTCGTGGGCGACTTGAGCCGATCGATCGGTTGTAAAGGCCGCGAGGGAAAAGGGACCACGACAAGAGAGGACGAGCGAGGACGCGAGAGCACCTGTCTCCGCAGTCCCCCTCCCCCCCCCCCCCCTCCCCCCCTTCTTCTCCTCCTCCTTCCCGCCCTCCCTCCTGTCATATACACCTTCTCGTCCATCATGGAGACCAAGCAGTTGTACTACTACTCCACACTGGGCCAGTGCTTGAGGGACACCGTCGACGGCATGGTCGCCTCCCAGATCATCTCCTCCAAGCTCGCAAACATCGTCATGAACAAGTTTGAGAACGTACGTTACTCATGGTACCATGCTCATCATCTGCCGTGACGGGTGTGTGCGCACGTGTGCGTGAGGGTCCCATGGCTGTGCAAGGGGGGGGAGAGGGGGGGAAAAGGGAGTGACGCTGATCGTGATCGCGGTCGCGATCGCCATCGATCAATGCCGTACCGGATGAGAAGGGGATGGTTGGGGCGGTGTGGGGAGGGAGAGGGAGGTGAGGTGAGAGCAGGGAGCTGCAGAGGCGGTGTAGGGTGGTGGTGGTGGTGGTGGTGGTGTGGTGGCGACACCGGTGGGACGGGGTGGGTGGGTGGGGGGTGGGTGGCAGGTCGGCTGGTCGGCGGCACGGCAATGTGCGACCTTTCTCTGCTGATGGCAGAGAGGATGGAGGGAGAGTGACTGATGCGAGTGAGGGAGCTGCGAATAGGTGGCGGCAAAGGCGTTGGAGGAGTCTGTGACTGCGACAATGTCATTCACTGCCTCGGGCAACATCATCTACCGCAACTGCGATGGCTTCTGGACCTTCTTCCTCCCCGAGGTCCAATTCAAGATGCCCGGAGCAGAAGCTGTCGACGGCCGCAATGTCAAGATCGTTGCCTACGACATCAAGGGCAACAAGCCGAGTGCGTCCAAGGCCCGCAGCCGCAAGCGCAAGTAGACGACACACGCCGTGACCCGCTGGTGGGAGTTGTTAAACCGCCCCGGTCTCGCCCGACCACGAGAAGATGGCGATGGGGACGAGGATGGGGACGGGGATGGGGGAGGGGGAGGGGGAGGGGGAGGGGGGGTTGTCATCGATTGACTCTCTGTTCTGTCCGGAGCGGTTAGCCCTTTGCCATATCAGACTTTGACGTGACCGAGTCAAACCGTCTTGCGCAGTGAGTAGCGGGGGGGGGGGTGAGGGGACGGGCAGGTTAATACTCGACTCGCTCCTTGCCATGGCCACTTTGCGAGGCGATGCTCGACTGGCGGCTCACTTCAACCCTGTCGACTGCGACAAGATCGTTAAGGAGGGCATTGTCCGTGAGCTTTCCTCTATGCGGTTGAAGGAGGAATACTCATTCAATGACCCGCGCACAAGTACGTCTTTCCCCTTTGTCTCTCACTCTGTCCCTGTCCGTTATGCCACGGCCTCAAACTGGCTGCTCGCCCAGCACGAGCCATGTCCCGCACCAACGGTCACGGAGAAGGGTCCACAAGGGTGATTGTAGTGGAAGAGCAGGATGATGTGGCTGGCGCCGAAGTGGGAGGTGGGTACTCATGGACAATGATGTTGTGTGTGTGTGTGTGGTGTGTGTGTGTGTGGGGGGACAACTGGACAACTGGTGTAGCTTACTTTGTCACTGACAAGCCGACCAACATGGAGCTCTCGACGTTTACCTCGGACGAGGATCTCCCGGCAGAGTTCCTGGCTGTGGCCAAGGCTCAGTCCAAGACGCCGAAGGAAAAGTATGACATGCCGCTGACAGAGGCGCAGGAGATCGGTTGGTATGCTGATGAGGTCGAGCCGCCGTCATCCGCAGCCATGCGCTTCTCCTTCAGATCGGGTCAGTCGGAGATGTCCAAGCACGCTAACGCTCTCACCACCGCCAACTGGTCCAACATCCGCAGATAGCGCCTTGTCGGCCTCGGATCCACTCGGGGCCTCGCTCTGCTCTCGCCCCATGTGCGTGTGCCGGCCGCAGCCGGGAAGCGATCACCACCCGGGCCCTGTGGCGCGAGTGAGTAGAGATTACCCCACCCACCCACCCACCCACCGTCTATAGCCTACGCACGGTAAAGAAGACTAGCTTTGGTTCTCTCTCTTGACCAGGCGCTTTCAGCGGGATCGTGTGATCGAGACGGCTTAGCCGCGCAAACGCCCGATCGTGCAAGCGCGGCTACCTGGGCGGATGGGAAGACACGATAGCATGGCGTGATTCCATACTATCCACGCAATCTAGTGGCAGTAGCTGTAGCTACACGTATAGCTAGCTGGCAGCTGCAGCTTTGGCTGTATCGTACCCGTCATGGTCATCATTCTCGACGAGGTAACTCTTCTCTCTCCCGAACTTTCAATCCTCGTCATGGCTGCCTCTTCCTCCTCCTCGGACCTCCCCGCTGTTGCTGCTGTCAAGCCCATCAAGGTTGCCCTCAAGGCCGGTGAGGACTACTGGTGGTGTATGTACCTCTCCTCTCTCCCTTCCCCATCCCCCATTCCTTCACCCCTGCCTCCATCCCACCCTTTGCCATGCCCCTCCCCCCCCCCCCCCCCCCGCCCTTTGGTCCTCTCCCCCACCCCCCTCCCCGCGACCCAAACTCATCCCTCCCCCTCTGTCCACAGGTGCTTGCGGTCTGAGCCAGAACCAGCCGTGGTGTGATGGTTCGGTATGTTGCAGGTGTGGTGCTGGCTCGGCATGTGCTGGGTGTGTCTGTGTGTGAGGGGGGTGATGGCCATGGAGGAGGAGGGGGGGGGGGGGGGCAACGACCACCAACCTACTCACGAACAATTTGCTTGAATGCTGTGATGGCCTGGTCGCTGCTTCTGTTTCGTGCGGCGTCGATGGTGGGGTGGGGTGTGGTTTGGTGTGGTGTGGTGGCGTGTGGCGGTGATCGATATATGCTGGTGATCGATGTGATGGTGATCGCGGTGTGTGGGGTGGTGGCTGATGTACGGGCCGGACTGCAGCACAAGGGTACTGGCATCGTGCCGGTCAAGGTTAACGTTGAGAAGGACGATGACTACTACATGTGCACTTGCAAGGCTACTGGCAGCGAGGTCGGCTTCTGCGACGGCACCCACCACACCGAGCCGGTTCTCCTCAAGTACTCGCGTCAGCTGCTCAAGGCCAACTCGGAGCTCAAGGCCGATCTTGTCTCGCTCAAGCGCAACCTTGCCATCGCTTCGATGCTCTCGGTTGGCTTTGTCGGCTCGCTCATCTTCTTCCTTGGCCGAAAGAACTAGTATCGGCATCAAGCCCTCTCTCTCTCCCTCCTCACCTCCGGCCTCGAGCGACGGCCTACCAGCCCATCAAGGTCGCGGGCGTGGTCATCAAATACCTTACCTTGCCGACGACCCCCCCCCCCTCCCCCCCCCCCCTTCCCCCCAATCGTGATCCCTCCCTCCCGATCAGCCCCTCTCGCCCCTGATCGTTCCCCTCCCTCCCCCCCCCCCTTCGCCACCGTCCTCCACACACCTTCCGAACGTATGCCAACTCGCTCCTCACCCCCCCCCTCCCCTCCCCTCCCCTCCACCCCCCCCCCCTCCCCTCCACACCCCTCCCCACCCCACCCCCTACCCTGTGTGGCATGATTGCAGCAGTGGGCAAGCCGTCTGCCGGCAAGTCGTCACTCCTCAATGCCGTGACCGATGCCAAGGCCAAGGTCGGTGCCTATCCCTTCACCACCATTGAGCCCAATCGAGGCATGGCCTGGATCAAGGTGCCGTGCGCTTGTGGAAGATCAACGTCCCCAGGTCGATGCTCTCCTCGAACTGGATCGTGTGTGGCTGATCCGACCGCTCCTTTGGGTTCATCAGCTCGGTTGCGTTCCGTCCCGGTCTCTGTCCTCGATGTGGCTGGACTTGTGCCCGGTGCGGCAGAAGGTGCTGGGTTGGGCAACAAGTTTCTGGACGATCTGCGGACGGCACAGGTCTTAGTTCATGTAGTGGACGCCTCGGGAACGACCGATGAAAAGGGCCAGGCTGCGCGCGGCTACGATCCGGTCGGCGATGTCGAGTGGCTTTTTGACGAGATCATCTCGTGGGTCGCCGGCAATCTGGCTGCAAAGTGGCCGGCTACAGCTCGCCGTCACGCCCGGACCGGCGCCCGCATGGCCGATACGCTGCAGGCGCAACTGTCAGGCTATGGAACCAAGCCGGCACTGACGGCCGAGCTCGTCGACACGCTCGGGCTCCGTGACTCGGAGGATTTGGAAGCGTGGGACGACGAGCGCATCCGCGACCTCGCCGCAGCCTTTGTCGCCGCCCGCTTCCCCACTATCCTCGCCCTCAACAAGATCGATCACCCGGATGCCGACGTCAACATCATGGGAATTGTCTCTAAATACGGTGACGACCGGGTCGTCCTCTGCTCTGCCCTCGCCGAGCTTGCGCTGCGCAAGATGGCCAAGGCGAAGTACATCGAGTACGTGCCCGGGACCGACGAGGTGCTCACGGCCGCCGACGCGCCCGACGCCGGCCTCAAGCCGCTCCCGTCCAAGCACGCCTCAACGCTCGAGTCGATCCAGGACCTTGTTCTCTTCCGCCACGGCTCGACTGGCGTCCATGAAGTCATTGCCGCCGCCGTTGCCGAGCTCGGCCTCTTTCCAGTCTTTCCGGTCGCGTCAGCACAGTCGTGTCGCGGCTTCGACCTTGCACGCAGCGCCGGCGCCGCGGGGAGCAGCGGAGGAGCCAGCAGCACGGACGGGCCTGGCCTCTTCTCCGACGTGTTTATGGTCAAGCCGGGCACCACCGTCCGCACCTTTGCCATCAACTTTCTCCGCAGCCTGTATGGCGACGACGGGCCGGGCTTTGGCCACGCCGAGCGGCCGGATGGGACGCCGCTCTCGGGCGGGCACGTTCTCACGCCCGACGACACTGTGTTGCGGATTGTGACCGGGTAAACAAAGCGGGCGATTACTCGAGGGGCGCAAACGAAGCGTCGGCCGCCTCCTCATCGCCCGGGTTGATGAGCGTCCGCATGTGGGTCACCGCGTCGCCGAGCGAGCGCTCGATGGTGTAGGCGACGCGGATGTGGGCGAGCTTGCGCCATGTGGCGCGTCGGCCGCGGAGGGTGCAATCGACGAGCTCGTCGCGAGTCGGGTTGAGCAGCATGCGAAGGTAGTCAATTATGGTGAGTGAGGGGATGATGGTGACGTTGCCGACGTATGTCTGCGACATGAGCCGAATGAGCGGGGCAAAGAACGGCGGGATGAGGTGGAGCAGCCGGAGCTGCTCCATGCGGTGGACGACTTCGGCGGCGACTAGCGACTTGACTAGCGTCCACCAGCGAACGGTGGTAAAGGTGTCGAGAACCGGGACCACGTGCGGATTCGTCTGTGACACGATAAAGTAGTTGACATTGAAGAGCTCAGCAATGCGCTGCTTGGGCACGTCGGTCTCGAGTGAGCCGTCGCACCACTTCATCGACGACTCCATCCACGGGCGGATGGAGCCGTCGGGCCGTTTCTCGAGAACCGGAACGGGCTCAAAGATGCCCGGCACGGCGCACGACGCAACCGCCGCAGACGAGATGACCACATCCGGCGCAGTGAGGTAGTTGAGCAGCCGCGGCGGCTGGTTGAGCCCGGCGCCTGAGATCGTGATGTTGACAATGCGCTTGGTCTGCTCGTACGCTTCGGCAAAGGTCGTGTGCCCGGTGTTGGAGACCAGGCAGTCTTGCAGGACCTTGACGTCCATGAGCACGCCCTTCTCATACAGCCGGCGGATCTTGCGCCAGACCGAGGCCACCGAGTCGATGGCCTCGAACGCGTTCATGTTGAGCGTGTCCTCCGGCTTCATCGCCCGCGCCTCCTCGTCGGTGTGAACTGCGCACACCGACGCGGCCATGGCCCCGACCGACGAGCCCGACATGACCCGCGGCAGGAGCTCTTGCTCGAACAGCTCGAGTAGCACGCCCGTGTGCAGCGCGCCGAACCGCCCGCCGCCCGACAACAGAATCGCAGACCGGCCGTACACTTGCCGGGCCTGCCACAAAAACTCGAAACGCTCTGCAAGCGCCACCCCGTGCCCGTCGTCGTCGTCGTCAGCAGCTGCAGCCTGCATGCCCTTGCCCTGACCGGAGAAGCCGGACCGGGCAGTGGCCGACGGACCGGCTCCGCGGCCGCCGTCGGCCTCAGTACCGGCGATAAAGGCGATCGAGGCGGCAACTTCGGCAACATACTCTTCGATCACCAGCTTGGTCCCCACCATGGAACGGGCAAAGAGGGCCGGGTTGTTGATGCCGGCAAAATCACGGACGAGCGAGCCACGGAGCAGGCCCATGAGGGCGCGCATGTTGCCGGCGCCTCGCAGAGCGCGGAGCGAGGCAATGCGTGAGCGGAGCAAGTTCGCATCGCACAAGCCATCGCTCTCGTTGCTTCGCCAGGCAAGACCACCCGAGAGCGCATCGTACTGCTCGGCCAGGATCCGCCAGGCATCGTAGCTCGCGGTCCTCGCCATGGCTCGCTTGAGATGGAACTGAGCTCGTGCCGTCGGTGAGCAAACATACGGCTCAATGAGAGCAAGGAGCCAGGCTGTTCCTGCCAGAATCGCCCACACCAACCAGAGCAGAGCAAGCGGATGTGGTGGAGGCCTCGCAGCCGACGCCAGCCACGTTGCTGCCGCCGCTGGCACAAACGATGGCGCCACCACAAAGACAGACGCAAACTTGTAGGAAGCCTTGAGCGACGCCGTCACCACGAGGAGGAACGTTCCAAACCAGATGGCAGCCATGAGTGGGAGTTCCCGGAGCATGGCTGTGTGTGTGTGCGGGGGGGGGGGGGCTTGTGCGGGTGAGGTGATCGTGATCTTGGTCGTGATCATGTTTGGAATTGGGATGGCGGGCGGCGTGGCGGTGGCTGGCGATGATGGGCTGGTGTGGGAGGTGGGAGAGGAGATGTGTGCAGGGGCTTGTTTTACGCGTTCTTCAATGTGACGGCGAGGGTAGGGATGAGGACAGCACCGAGGACAACCATGCCGAGGACGAGGCAAGCGCACATCTTCTTGCGGGCCTTGCGCTGGTACTTGTTGGCTTTGCCGAGCTCCTTGACGGCCTTGGCGGTGTAGCCGACACTCTGGGCCACCGAGTGCTCGATCTGGTCGAGCAGCTCGCCCTGGGCGTCGACGAGGACAGCCATGTCAACAAAAAGCTGGTGGAGCTCGGCGATGGAGCGCTCGAGACGGACGATGTCCTCGTGGCGCTCCTGGATGTCTGCCAGCGCATTCTGTGCGGCGGCGTGCGAGGCGGTCGACGAGAGCATCATCTGGGCAAAAACGCCCGAGCCGCCAGTACCCTCGACAATCTCATCGATTTCGTCCTGGGTGGCGTCGCGCTTGACAATACGGACTTGCCGCTCGACGCGGTCCTTGTACTTGTTGCGGTACTCGGTCTGCAGCTCTTGGTACTCGCGCATGACGGCGATAAACTTGCGGGTGAGCGCGCCATACGCGTTGGTCCGGATCCGGTCTTCGGCCGAGCCCTTGTGTGCCTTGGCGAATGCTGCGTTGTCCTTCTCCATCGCCTTGAGCTTGGCCCGGATCGACTTGGTCATCTTGTCGGTCTCGGCCATGAGGTCGGCGAGTACCTGCGAGCACTGGGCGGCCTCTTCCGACGACGTTGCGCCAAGCGAGAGTCCATGCTGCTCCGCCACCCGCTCGATGTTGTCCTGCACCCGCGCCAGCAAGCCCTTCAGCACGTCGACCCGTTGGAAGAACGGTGCCAGCTCGTTCTCGGCGCCGCCGCTCTCGCTCCCTCCCGACGACTCAGACAACGGCGCCTTGCTGCTCTCGCCACCGACGCCGCCCACTCCGACTGCCTCCAGCGGAATGCCTGCGGCTGCGCCAGTCTCCCTTCCACCCACCGGCCCATCCGACAGCGAGTACTCGTCGTCCGAGTATGGATCATAGTAACCTCCTCCTCCCTTGCCACCACCGGTACCACCTCCGCCACTGCTTCTCGGCGGAGCCTGTTCCCATCAGTCGGTCATCCGCCCATCCGCCGTCCGGCCCGTAGTCCGCCGCCCGCCGTCCGTAGTCCGTCGTCCATAACCCGCAAGCCACCGGCCACAGGCCACCGCGCCATGTTCCCATGCCGTCTCTCTTGGTGAGTTACACAGGGCAAAGACACACACCATAGCCCAAGGAGAATGAGCAAGGCAGAGGAGGGTATGTGTGTGTGTGTGGGGAGGGGGTGGGGGGG